AATAGGAATGAGAATACATTATTTTGATGGAGGGAATATTGATTTTTAACGGCAGAGAGTTGCCTTTTCCTTGGTTTTGTACACTTTCTTATTGCTTCGCTTGATACGAGCTGTTTTTATTGTGATCGGTTATTACTGGCTCAGCACCGCAAACTGAGGTAGGTGAGCGCCATGCAATGCTCCCTTGAGATCCGCGCTGAAGTTCACATGTTCTATGCAGGGTACTGAAAGGAAAGTGAACGTGTAAATTGCAACACACATCGTACATTTGCTAATTGCATTGTTTTACATTCTTATTTTGTGTGGCTTCTTGTTTTGTTCGAGTCAATTTTGGTATCTTGCATCCTTGCTCTACAAAAATTCTCAATTCTTCTCGGTATCTCAATCGAGTTTCCAACTGGTCAAAAAATTAGCACCTCCAATTATCACGGTTGCCTACGTACGGTGCAAAAGAAGTTCAACATAATAATAACGATGTCCTATGTACCCATGAAAAGCCTCGCCAAGTCTCAAGATATTTTTTTAATGCCCCTGACAAATGATCGCAGGAGGGGGCAATGCCGCTGTGCGCACTCCCAGTGGAGTCATTTGCAGCTACATTTTTAAATCCTTTATATTAAGTTCACTTGCTTGCGCGCTTACGACCGTGCAAATCTTTCGGTCGTTTTTTAACCCACTTCCCGTGATCCAATCGAGCTGACATTTTGCACACAGACTCATTGTGCGTAACAATTTATTTTCGTGAAAATTTTTTTCCAAAATTTTACACTTTTTAGGAAAAAATAAATTATATTGTATTACCAATTGCTTAATGGTGGCAGGCAATCATCTGACCCATAGGTGGCAGCCATCTCAAGCCAGAGGACGAGAGGACTCTAGCCGCCACGCATATAAAGGATTTATAGTGAAAAACTTTGTTTTTACGGGTTAATTTTTTCAGTATTTGGGATGCTTTGACCAATACCAGTTGTGCCCGTTCTCTATCCAGATAACTCGGAGGAAACCCACGATTATCATGTGCGGTGCGTCAATATCAGAACTGAGCCGCGCATAGTGCTGATCCATGCGACTTTTGTCATTCGCTGTGACAGCCTTAATAGTTGCTCACGAACAGCACTCACCCCAACACATTCTAGAGAGCTGTGATGGCAATGTGTGTGTTTAGTCAGGTTACACCGATTAAGCAGGGAATATCACTGTGGTGTACATTATTGTGATAAAGTAGCGGGGAAAATTGTTTGCACATTGTGCGAATGAACCTGGCAACCTGAGTTTGATTACCAGCCGTGGATATCATCAATGGCAAATTATATCTTTACGAGTCCTGGGCAATCTACTAATTCGCACTGACCAGCACGGTGAAGTATAGTCAAGCATTCCCCATCGGCACGGCGTGGGGAGGCCTTCATCTAGCAGCGGATTGATGGGAGGACTGTAAAAATGTGTTTTATTAATAATTGTACCCAGCAAGACATGCAAAGGTATCACACAACGGTTGGCGACGCGCGGTGCGAAAGAAGTTCAACATACGTACGTTCACTCGAGTGGAGGCCCTCCGGCCAGCAGTCCCATACCTAAGACATTGCAGGGCTGCATCTTTACCTTAGCACAGTGTGGCACAGCTGCACGCGCTGTGGATTATTATCCACAAACAACGGAGCCAAGGTCGCCAATTCGAGTCTATGTATCACTCTGTTTTATTAAGCCCGAGACCTAATGAAGACTTTCAAACATTGTCCACGAATGAGCACGCTTGGACACAGCTGCATACAAATATTCCTAACCCCTTATGTTCCACATGCATAACTTAACGTTTCATATTCCAGCCAGTTTTTTTCCCGGTTTATGTAACTGCAGTGTCCATAATTTTACTTCCAATAACACGTCTGGAAAGGCAGCGTTCTGTTGAGTCGGTTGTCTTTGCATTTGCTGGGAATTTGCATAATTACGAGACAAACATTATAGCTGCCTGCGCGTAGCTGCGAATGTTACGCTGCTCCACGCTTCAACACAGCCCACAAAAACACGTAGCTGCCAGCGATTGCCAGAGGAGCTCGCCAATGTGAGTGGTGTGCATATCCTGTAAGAATAGCATTGGCGGCGAGGCAATTCCCATCAGTGTGCATATATCATAATACAAAAACCTAATTGATGATGTGGCAACGTTCATGGCTAAAATCCATAAGAAACGTGTCTCTTCGTCAACACACGTATCATCAGCCTCTCAATATTAAATCGTGCTCTCCCTCTTGTGTTCAGTGGGGCAATCTGCAGCGCGGGGAAAACTGCGTCCGCTCTGCCGTGGTGGTGGTCCTTTCACGCGGAGGGACCCGGTGAAAACACAAAGATGACACGAGATGAACTTTCAATTCACGGAGGCACATTACTCCTGGTTCTGGAGGGCACATTGTTGGTCGTAAACAACCACTGTTGCTTTCGAACGCAACACAAGCGCCCGTCTTCAGGTGAAAACCGCAACAGCTGATACGTCTGCTGCTCGCAGCACGATGTCCACAAGGCAGTAGACATCGTGCTGCGAGCAGCAGACATCGTGCTGCTCACAGCAGACATGGTGCTGCGAGCAGCAGACATCGTGCTGCGAGCAGCAGACATGGTGCTGCGAGCAGCAGACATCGTGCTGCGAGCAGCAGACATGGTGCTGCGAGCAGCAGACATCGGGCTGCTCACAGCAGACATCGTGCTGCTCACAACAGACATCGTGCTGCGGGCAGCAGACATCGCAGCTGTCGCGGTTTTCACCTGAAGACGAGCGCTTGTGTTGCGTTCAAAACGTCGTGATTTATTTGATTGTATTTCTACCTACGTGACTTTACCGAAAGAACCAAGAGTATGGATTCCTGCAGTCAAGGAAGCTTCAAATCAACATCAAAAGTGATGAATTCTGCGGTCACAATTAATTTTGTAAATGAACGTGTGTGCGTTGAAAACCTCGTTTTTTTACCTATGGGATGTTTGACCAGTTCCTTTAAGTCTTGTGATAGTATCGGTTCAACATCCACTCCCAGTTGTTATCGTCCGTACACTTTGCTTATTAAAACTGAGCTGAAAGCGGAAGTGAAAGACGTTGTGGTGGCGAGACGTTATCTCCCTCGCCTGGAATGCAGGAGGTCGTGGGCTCGATCCAGACCCTGACACCTGCTGTATATTTAGAGTTTGCATTTTCTCCCCGTGGCCACGTGGATTTTTATCCGGGTCCTCCGGTTTTCCCTCCACATTTAGAAACACGCGTTGAGTATTTGGCTGCTATATATTTCCACGTGATAAGCCACTTCGTTGAGCTATCATTCGTGGCCATGTCACTTCGCTGCATAGCTCAGTGGGCCTTACCTGGTAAAATAATAATAATACCCGTAAACACACGTCGCGTTTTTCTCCTGCCCGGCAGACGTGTTCAAATCGCTCAAACCGGTAAATAAAGCCCCGTAGCTGTCCCCGTTCCCGAAATAACAGAATAACGTGGCCGCGTCGTTTCCCAGAGCGACCCGGCGTCCCCACACACACCCCTTCACCGTCGCTCTTCTCAGAGACAGGTCTCACTCCTTGGGGCGCTGTGCCGCCCGCAATGAAACTCACCGAGCCGGAGGTCCTACGGAAAGGTCAGGGTTTGGCGTCACACACACACACACGCGCGCACTCGTGCGTGTGTGTGTGAACGTGGGGAGCGGTGGTGTAGTGGTTAGCACTACGCTATGAACCCGGCGACCCGAGTTCAATTCCCGCTAACGGCCAACATCGGTGACGATTATCTGAACCGGTCCTGGGCCTCCCCTAGGTCGACTCAGCATCAAATGAGTACCTGGTGCGGTGTGTAAACATCGCCATTAGGGAGACAAAGGCGGCCGGGCGTGGTACTGGCCACCCACCCCTCGTGTGCTGTTCCAACCTTCATAGGTGCTACTAGCTCACAGCACTTGCCCCAACAGTCTAAGGCTACACGGGGGATCTTTGTCTTTGTTGCGTGACAGAGCTACGGGGCCCGAGGGGCCGCTGCATCTCCACGACGATGCGCGAGCCGCCACCGCGGCCCCCCCCCCCTTCACTGCCGCTCCGCTCCACGTCACGCACACCCGTCAAGGGCCAGGCATTGCCCCCACGGACATGATTGGTAATAAACATAAATAATGCCCCTTGTTATTATAACGTAAATGTACAGCCCCGAAGTCAACCAGCCGCTGCACAAGGGGCCCTCCTCTCCACGCCGCGAGGGTTGTCGGGGGCTGTTTGGCCACGGCCATCACACTCTCGTCGGTGCGCGAACACGAGTGGAAAGATGGCAGCGGCCTTTGAGCGGCGCGCTCCGTTAGGCGAGAAGTCACGAGGAATGCCGTCAACGCGGCGCCCGAAAATCGAGTATCGATCTCCTGGTCTAAACAACAAACAACAAAGTTAAAGGTGCGGGAGCAGGGACGTGGGCGCACAAAAGTGTCGTGCACAACGGTGCGCTGCATTGCCCTCCGATGAGCTCCACACGGCACAGCCCAGCAAGCTACCTGGCGCCTACCTGGCGCCTACCTGGCACCTACCTGGCGCCTACCTGGCATGCCCAGTGATCACCCAATCAACCACTGTGCGGGGGCGAACCCTGCCTGGCTTCCGAGATGTAACACTAGTGGGCATATTCTAAGTGATTTCGCCATGTGCTTATAATAATTATTAAGCTCAAGAAAGCCTCAGTGAGACTTGCAATATTATTCAGGAGCATCCTGCGTTGGGATGATTGGCCAATTCCGTTAATCAGCGGTTGACTTTGTGCTCACAGGGAATCTTGAGTACCCAGAGAAAATCCACGATTGAATCCTCAGGGAATGGCACCTTGATGTCCACGGAACGGGAGGTTCACAACATTCGCACGATCCACCAGCCCTCGCCCACGCAGCGCTGCATCGCAGGCGTGCACCACCAGCACACCTGGCTCAGATGGCAGGAGGGGACTACGTCGTCCTCTCGATCACCATAAACACAACATCGGGAAGCAAACGAATGTTACGTTCGGTGTTTTATTACAATAATTATTATTTTGTGCTGCATTATCGTGAAAGCAGAATTTAAAAAAAATCATTGTAGTGCAATAGGTTTTCCCACCATGCATCAGAAAGACCATCCTCCGATTGGAAGTAAGTGCTCCAGTGAGCAAAAAAAAATACAATGCTGAGATGGGCTTTTGATATTTATTCGGAGTTGAACTGCTGCAGTCAGCCTCCTTCCTGTTACTATATCTATCGATTACATTATTAGTTCTGCAATGTCTGCCATGATATGTGTAGGCAACTTTGTTCCTCACAAAGGGTGAACCGGTTTGTGTAAATTCTGGCAGGGTGCCTGCATTTTGGGCAACAACAGCCAGCCATGGGGCATCTCAGTCACAAGCCTGGCGACCTTGAGACGGAGTTAAACTGCCAAATGTTTTGCGTTGGAAAAAAATCTGTATTTTTTTGGTAAAAATACATTGGCATACAGCGCAGGTCTGAGCACATTGCATCGTATTATGAGCGACAGCGAATATGCAGGAACACAGTTCCCTTTAGAAAATGTAAAATAAAAAGTAAACAAATAAGAAAAACGCATCGAAGAGACAAAAATCTACCTAATATTAAATCATGGACTTGCCAGCCCTTTTGGCTGATATTTTTACGAGTGACATTTGGCACTCTTTGTATTTAAAATTCTGTCTTCAAAAGCGACAGACCCCTTCCCCTTGCCTTCACAGGATTCTCCTACTAGGGCAGGCTGCCAGCTATGAAAGTGGTTAGAAAGATGCGATCACTGAGAAGTGAAAAGTCTGCAAAGACTACGAACCATGCACAGGAGAAAATAAAAATTCACACTTTGGAGCTGGTGATTTTTGCAGGGGAGGCAACTGATGGACCGTACGAGTAATGGCAGCAGCAGCACTCAGGGAAGAGCACACGCACAAAGGGGCAGCTGTAGTGGAGACGAGTCAAAAGGTCAAAGTCTCTCCTTGCATAAATGAGCATTGGCAGCCTTGAGCTAGCGGTGACAATTCAACATTCCCATGGCGAAGAGCCAGTCTCTAGAAAAACACATCTTGTTGACTTCCCACAAAATGGTGTTTATTTCATTGGCCCTGGTGGGATGATGAGCTGTAAATGACCCGAAAAAGGATTTGAAAACAGATTATTGTGACTGTGAGTGTAGGCCTCTGCGAACAGCGCCGCGTGGCCGGGTTAAGCAGCGAAGATATCGGGGCAAATCGAAGAAGCATCACGTTAGGCCAGGGGTCGGCAACCAAAATAATTTGGTCAAAACAACCTCAATATTTCTAGAGCCGCAACGCAATGCGATTAACGTCACAAAGCAGCCCTTAAAGAGCCCCGTGCGGCTCCTGAGCAGCAGGTAGCCGACCCCTGCATTAGGCGGACGCGCAGGGCGAGAGAGGTAGCGGCCTCGCTGCTGGGGAGAGGCCTCCCCCAGGGAAGCGGCAGTCAAGGGGGTCGCGTCGCGGCGTTGGGCGAGGCCCCCAGCTCATGGCAGCCCCGCTGTGGCAGCGAAGGTGGCGGGCCACACGGTGACGAAGGGGAAGTCGTACATCGGCGGCAGCCCCACGTGGGACGTGCCGTTAAACTTGCTCCAGCTGAAGGGCGGCGTGTCGGGCTGCACCGTGGGGCCGTTCACCACGAACGACGTGAAGTTCCGCGCGTTGAAGTAATCCGTGACCTGGGGCACCCCGCGCGCACACACACACGGACGCGGTGTCACCAGGGTAAATCTGCATGCTGCCCTCGGTTACCGATATGGTTCACCGTCCCGGGATCGAGCGCAAGCTCTCAAAGTGCCCGCATTAAATCCTGAGGCTCGGTGGAGAGCAACATACAACATTGCCATTCACAACCGTTCCATAATTAACCGAGATACGCCGACGCATTTAAGTATGGAACCAAAAACGTAAAACACAGTTTCCAGATGCCTGCGACCGAAACGGATTTTCCAAGTCTCTTGTTGTGTGACGTTTTCCCCGTGTGGCGCCTTTCACCAGCACAGTCTGTCACAACGACTCCGCTAAACAACTCCTCCTCTACACGAACCCCCAGCACACACGGACTGCGCTGTGTCGCAACCACCATCCTGCGTACCGCAGCCCTTGGCCAGGCATGGTCCGTCAAGCTCCGTCTCTTTCTCTCCGATGCGTTAGCCCTCTGGCATGCAGAATGTCGTGGGTCCGATACGGACCTGACGCCTGCTGTATATTTGGAGTGTGAAAAGCCACTTCGTTGAGCAATCATTGGTGGCCAGGTCGCTTCTGAAAAAGGGCTATGGAGTGGGCCTTACCTGGTAAAATAAAAATTGTTCATAGTTAATAGAGTGCAGCTCCCAACAAGCCACACGTGACAGTGACACGAGAGGGCTTTAAATGCACGGCTGCATGTGGTGAGGGACGTGGGCCATTCTTCTCCGTACCTTGGTATCGTAGCAGCCATCGGGAGCCGGCTTTGTTGGGTTGAGGTCACCACGACAGCAGATGCAATCGCAAGGGTCGCCTTCAGAATAAGGGTCGTACTTGTAATCTGCACGCGGAGAAAAGGGAGTGAGTGGCCATGGGAGGCAGCAGCATTGTTGTTGGTACATCGCTGTGTTTTTATATCACATTGACAGCTGCTCCGAGACAATTGCATTCGAGCACCAGAAATTCTCGAATATTCAAAGTATTTCAAGCCACGTAGCAGTGGTCAGAGCGTGTGGCGCGTAATTATAAGGTTCCAAATACCAGGATTTTTTAAATTCGTTTTTGTTCATGAGTAACTAGTGCTTATCTATGAATAAATATGTCCCTGCCAGAGGAGTGTGGCGTTTCTGCCAATGGCTCAGAGCTGCAAGCGAGAAATGAGTGCCACACCATGCTAGAGTGGGCACTTAACCACCTACTTATTTCCATTCGGCCAATAGTGTTAATTCAGTAAGACGCGGCTAATTATTTATAGTTCAAAGGCATTCAAGTAAACAACTTGGCATGTTCTGTTCAAACCTCTTCATTAACAATTAATACCAATGAGTGCCTCATTAACCCCGCAGAAGTGTCACATTTTGATGCGTCAAAAGGCGTTCATGTAAATGTTATTGTTTGAGGTTTACGCTTCTATGTTTTATTCATACGTACTTCCATAAAGTGTCTCCGATGACGGGAAACGTATTCTCCTTAGGACGGCATGTACCCAGACTGATAATCCTAGGTCCATTCCAAGCAAACTGCTCTAAGCACGGCTCTATATCTCAAGGATATATTCTCAAATTCTGAATTCCAAATTTTATAAATGTTGGGCACACCACCAGAGCAAAAGAACACAGGCTTATAAATATCATCACAGGATCTATAACATCGACTTTTAAGAAAAAAAACGATCTTTCATTTGAATAATCTTTTATATGTTCCAGTTGGAATGCATTCAAACTACATCTACACGATCGCACCACAACTTTTATGAACAATGCCTTTGACAGGAAATGATAGAGGAGGCTTGTGTTTTCGGCAATGATGCATCTTAAGGAGAGAAACTGCAAACAGAACACTGTGACTTATACAACAGTTGTAGAACACATTGTACAATGTGGCACTTTGCAAATGCTGCCAGCGTATCGTACAACCCGCTGTTATAATACGGCAGTGTGAGTGAAGGGGGCAATCTGAAATCAATCTGTTCTTTCAATCACAGCGCCACCGGTCCCTAAAGTCTTCTCAGTTGCGAGCGCCGCGTCGGGTTCCACAGGCGGCACCAACGACCGCCGGGTGTCGTCGAGGGCTCCGTCGCCGGGGGGGGGGGGGGGGCGCTGGGGGTACTCACTGTTGGACCTCATGATGCCCTTCATGGAGGCCAAGTCCACCACCGAGCCGTGGTCGCGGCGGAAGATCTTGGCCCGAGGGGCGAGCTCGTATGAGAAGTCGCTGCCGTGCGTGGCCACGAACTCGGGGTAGCCGCTCAGGTTGTACACGGACTCGTAGAACGGCACGTTGTAGGACGGCCAGTATCCTGGCGGGCAGAGGCGCGGGTTAGGTGCAGCGCATTGTGCAGTGATCCTGTGAGCGAATCACTGCGGACATGGCTACGACTCCACTGTCCCATGGACAAAGGGGCAGCCGTGCATGACGCTCGCCACCAAAATCCTCGCTGTGCGTCAAGCGGAAGAGGTGACAGCGATGGCTCTGCTGACTGCACACATGCACGTGTGTGTGTGTATTTGTGTATGTGCGTGTGTGTGTGTATGTGCGCGTGTGTATGTGCGCATTTGGGGAGCGGTAGTGTAGTGGTTGGCGTTTGGGGAGCGGTAGTGTAGTGGTTGGCGCACTGCGCCAACCACTACACCACTGACAAATATATGTAATATGTAAACTGGTCGTGGGCCTCCCCTAGATCGACTCAGTCTCAAATGAGTACCTGGTGTGGTGTGTGAACATTGCCACGAGGGAGACAAAGGCAGTCAGGCGTGGTGCTGGCCACCCACCACCAATGAAGACCGTGCCGGCCTTCATCGGCGCTCGCCAACAGCATCTGCCCCACCGTATGTTAAAGCTATACTGGGGGATCTTTGTATTTTGTGTTTCCCGGTACGAGCGTGCATGTGTGCGTATACGTGCTTGTGTGCGTATACGTGCATGTGTGCGTATACGTGCTTGTGTGTGCGCGTTACAGTGAGCGTCTCTTTATGGTTGGGAAAGCTGCAGGAAGGAGGGTGGTGGTGCTGCCACCACATCTGGTGCCACAGCAGGTCATCATTCTAGGCTAAGCCAACCTACAGGGGGGGTTGGTGGAGCGCACATCTCAGGTTCCAGCAAATCGCCATGCACATCGCCAGCCACGAGGTGAGCCTCTATGACCTGCAATGTTCACATCTGATCCGCCGTACTCCCAGCCACGAGTTACAGTCACCAGTGGAACAAGCGTGGCACTTCGCTGACACGACGAGGCCTTGTTCGCCTCCAGAGTGCCTCGAGACTCCTTCACCCTCATTGCACTTCAGTGAGAATGACATCAACTTTCTCCGGTTTCAAACTTTCTCGGTCTCATCAGCAGGGTGTCGCGCAAACAGATGCTGCCCGCGGGCGACTGATGTCATAGGCGAGAGCACTCGTGCCCCCTCCCGCCCCCCGAACCCTCGTGACACGTGGGGGCCCGTCCACTGCGGAGCAGCCAAAACGTCGCACGGATTCGGCGGCTCACCTTTGCGCAAGATGTCCGTCTGGTCCTCCGACACCACGAGTGTGGGAATCTGCTCCACCACGAAGAGGGCTTCGTCCGCGATGTTCTTCTTCAGCTCAATCTTCTTCAGGTCCAGCACCATGTACTGGTTGTTGTAGGTTCCTGTGAGATATCAACAAGGCTCTCAATTTCATTATTTTTCCCAACTATTACAGTTAACTAAACAACCTAAACAATTCATCATCATCACATGGCCAAAAACCCCCAAAAAAATCTAAAACCCTAATACCGTGTTAAGTTCACCAAATCCACCGAGCATCTTGCCCACATGCCGATTTCACCACTCCGCCTCCTCGCCGGCGGTGCGACCTCCCCTCCGACGCGCCCCATTCACCTGAATTGTGTCTTGAGAAGACCTCGCCCCACTGCCGGCCACCGCGAGCCATCATGTTGGCGACGCGCACACGCTGCCACGCCAGCAGCGACAGAGGAGTGATGGCCGCATACAGGGACGCGTTGAACACGTTGTTTGTGGTCTGCAGCAGCACGAGCCCGCTGCTCAGCAGGTAGTAGTCGTCCAGAGACTCCAGGAAGCCTGCGGTCAAACAAGACAAGTGGGGGGGGGGGAGGTTTACGAAAACAAGAGAGTATGCTCAACATGATGTGGCAGCCGGATGTTCCCAGCAAGCCGAACATTTATTTCTTTCTCTCGGACACGTTTTCGGTCCGTACCGTGCACGATGATGCGCGACGTTTTGGCACAATGTCAGACGTTTCGCTCCACATACTGGGAGCCTAAAGAAGCTCCCCCAACACGTGCAGCGAAACGGCGGACATCGCTGTCCCGAACAACGCGACCCGGCAACACGTCGGCAAGAGCCACGCGGCAACACCACGAGAAGCCAAGCGTTGGTCCCCTTCCTACTCACGCAACCGAAACGTGGGCTCAGACTGCCTGCCAGGGAGAGACGGGATCGTCGTCGGCGTCGTCGGCGTCGTTTACGCTCCCCGCTGACGCACGGAGCGACGACCAAACCGGGCTGGCGAGCCGAACCGACGCAGCCAAACGCTCCTCCATTCCGCACCGTCGATCGTCCGAGTGGGGCCGTGGGTAAGGGATGGCGGATGGCTGCGGCGTGCGACACCGACCTGGGTAGCTGCTGAAGGACATCTGCCGGCTCGCCGTGGAGGCGTCCAGAAAGTTGAAGTCCCAGTGCTTGAAGATCCTCATGGTGGCTGCGTAGGTGAACCAGCTCGAGTGGGACATGAATATGTTCTCATATCCAGGCAGAATCTAAAGATAAAAGATATATAAAAAAAATACAAATTTGACGATCAATTTTCTTTACGACAGATCAATCTTCTTGGTTCTTTCGGTAAAGTCACGTAGAAGGGAAGTAATAAAATAATAAAAATAAAACATAATAAAATTATTCTCACGACGTTTCGGCCACAACGCAAGTAGCCGTCCTCAGGTGAAAACCAGGTCCGTCGAGGCGACAGAGTCAGACTCTGTCGCCTCAGACTCTGTCGCCTCGACGGACCTGGTTTTCACCTGAGGACGGCTGCTTGCGTTGTGGCCGAAACGTCGTGAGAATAATTTTATTATGTTTTATTTTTATTATTTTATTACTTCCCTTCTACGTGACTTTACCGAAAGAACCAAGAAGATGAATCCCTGCAGTCACGAAAGCTTTAAATCAAGACAGATCAATCATTGGATCTTCATTCATAAAAAGTGCACTTCACATCAGATAAAGGCAAATCATCAAACTTTACATGGAATAAAATGTATATGAATGCACAATACTTATAAAATATCGAAGACAATAGGGCATAGATACAATACATATTGCCAGCAATGACGTATTCCAAAGGCCTGCTACAACGACATTACGGGACTGGGGACCAGAAACATGAACGCTGACAAAATGGGATTTTTTTTTTAAGTGTGCAAAGTAGCGTGAAGATATGGAAGCTCAGAATGACGCTGGAATGTAAAGGGGAGCGCCTGGGCCACGATGAAACGAAGCCGATCAGAGACTTCATGTTAACTCAGGACAGCAAGCAGGTTTCGGTAAGGCACAGTGAGAAGAGATGGTGGCTGATAGATCAGTTGATAACGCAATGGCAGCTTCTGTTTCACCTCGCTCATCCCATGACCCCTCAATCTCTCCCTTCTAGCCACTACCATCCCCGCTTCCTCTTCATAATCTCAATTCCATGAATACCACCCATTCCCCATCCATCTAAAACATTAATCATCACTTGCTCTCGTCAATTTTACAGCAGTGGATGGAGCACGTTTCATGACCAAGATCATGATGACGATTAAACATAATTAAAACATAAAACAGAAAATGTAGTTTGTAAATCAAGGGCTGAACGATCAGCTTCCGAGCAGTATTTTGCTGTGTTCTACTCTTGCTTTTAGCATGGCGATGAGCTAATTGGCGTATCATCTTGTTGCCAAAACCTGTCATAAATTTGTGTGGAGCACTCCTGTTTATTGATGGTACGTTGGGCAAGTTAAAATCAACATCGGCAGACGTTTATACAGGTTTTTGTGATCTTATGAGCAAGCGTAATGAAGATTACATTCAATATTTATCTGCCAATATTTGGCATGCACACATCTCAGGAGGTAAAATCTATGGAGGAAACAAGATTAGCTCAACTTTCAAAATGTTTACTAAATTGTGCGTGTTTGGTAATGAGCGCATTTTAACAGTGTCTATTATTATCCGATGTAGAAGAATCGATGTTACAGTACAACTTTAAAACAGCCAGTAAATATTCATTTAAATTAGGAATCTATAATAGCAACTAAATTATTGATTATTGGGACTGCAATCAACGGTGAGAGTTAATATTTTAATTGTAGATGTAAATATAAAATGTAAATCGGAATATATTGGCAGTAAGCATCATGAGAGGATATTTAAAAGCACACAAGTCTCCTAAACTCCCAATGATTTAGTATTGGCATCAACAATTGCCACTGGACTCAGGTGAGGCGGTGGGGCCCAGTGGTTAATGCATCGCACTGTGATCACGGTGACTCGAGGGGTCACGGTGACTAGGAGATGTCAACTACCTCGCCGATATGCAGGAGGTCGTGGGTTCGATCCCGACCCCGACGCCTGTTGTATATTTGGAGTTTGCACGTTCTCCCTGTGGTCGTGTAGATTATTCTCCAGGTCCTCCAGTTTTTCCCTCCACATTTAGAATCAACATCACGCATTTAGAGCATTTGGCTGCTGGAAATGTCCACGTGATGATAAGCCACTTCCTTTAGCCATCATTTGTGGCCAGGTCGCTTCTGAAAAATACCTATATAGCTCAGTGGGTCTTACCCGGTAAACTAAGTAAACAATAGATGAAATAGTTTACGCGTAGCTGGGTCTTGCGTCGCTCACGACCGTGACCTATTCGTCCGCGCGGAAGCAATTTTGTTTTGTTCGTGTAACACCTTGATGAGAGCGGAGCAGTGGCCGCTCTTCTGCACCAGCCTCTTGGCCTCGGCTTTGCTCAGGGACAGCCACGGGGGCCGCCGCGACGGCACCAGCGCGTTGACGAGGTCGATGACGTCGCCGACGGCGTTGAGATACAGCGCGGGGAAGGAGAGGTCCTGTCTGCGTGGGGAGGGCGACGACAAACAATCATTCAATACGACTTTAATGAGCCAAGAACGTCCGTTTGTGTGTAACGCACGTGACATCACTCCACGTGCCGCACCCCCCCTCCCCCCCGTTATTAATGTGCATGAGCGGCTGGATTTTTTACACTCGGACAGGTCGAGCGGAAAGACATTTTTTCTTCGCAAATTCGCTTTAAGTTTGACGCTTCTTTATTGAAAGCGAATCTAATAAATAATTCTACGCAGCAACAAAGTGGATTTGGCGTCTTTATTTATTTCTTCAGCACTTGACACAAAAGGTAAGTCTAATTTATGCTTTTCCAGATATTGTATCGAATTCCTATTTATTTCAACCCCAGCGACCGAAGACAGAAGAGAATAAAGTATCAGAGCAGTGAATTTGAACAAATGGAAGGTCAGTTATACACAGCGCTACAGTGAAATGCAGCTTCCGTCCTAGGACGGGCAAACAAGCTAGTCATTCAATACTCGTATAACGTCCGGGGCTATGACAGGTTGATAAGTTCACCAACACGCTTCGTCCAAGTTATTCTTTCCTAAGTGCTCCACCCTTTAAATGTTACCATGCTCCCCCCTCACCCCCGCCATTAATGTACAGAAGCGACCTGGTCACAATTGAGAGCTCGACAAAAGGGGCTTATCGTGTGGAAATTTATCGCAGCCAAATACTCTAAATGAATGTTTCTAAATGTGGAGAGAAAAATCGGAGGACGCGGAGAAAAATCTACATGACCACGGGGATAGAGAGAACATGCAAACTCCAAATATACAGCAGGTGTCAGGGTTGGGATCAAAGCCACGACCTCCTGAATACCAGGCGAGGTAGTTAACATCTCCTAGCCACCGTGAGCCAAGCGGCGCAGCTTGTGGCTCGCATCTCTCTCTCTGGCCCCACGGCCACAGCACCGGATGGGCCCTGCTCTTGAACGAGAACGGCAGCTTCTCGGGCCGAGGTTTCGTCGCTGCCGCCACCGGCCTTCGACTTCGCTCTGCGGGGCCACACCTTGATGCCGTGCTCGGCGTTCCTGCGCGTGGCTCCCGCGATCATCCCGTCGAGCTGCGACAGCACGTAGTCCACATTCCTCCAGAAAGGGTCGTCGTGGTTCTCCCGCGACTGAACACGCGCCCACGAGTCCTGCTTCCTGGCAGAGCGGAGCGCAAACCGAAACCCGGAGGTACATTTACTTTAGTAAATTCTCTTTTCATTTTTAAGCGTCATCTGAAAAGGAGGGATAAAAATAGATATTAACGATAGTCATAGATAAAATATTAACTGAACAAATAAACATTGAAATAAATTGTAATGCCAGCGTTAAAATAAATGGCGCAACCTGATGCGTCCTAACTTTTGAGCCTCCCTGTACGTGCGCAAATCAGAAATATTTCTTTGTGTGGTGAATGATCGTGAGCCTTTCCTTCCGTCTAACCCAATAGAGACAAACACGGGATCACCCGTGTAACAAACAATATAAACTTAAACACATCCTTGAAAAAGACTCAACTACGGAGCGAGCAACGTTCCTCCGGTTCGCACATTCACGCGTGTAACTGCAATCCCCCCTAACGTCGAAGTCGATGATCATTATGGAGACAAATGGGTCAAGGCCGACCAATCACAGTGGACATTCTTCAGAGTTATAGAGCTGTAGTCAACAGCTGGCAGTGGAAAACCAAGGCCACCGGCTGAAATGTTCGCTCGTTTACAAATGGCAGCACACAAATGTTGCTCCGGACCAAGAAACCTGCGTTCATTTTTTGCTCGTCTGCCCCAGGCGTTTGAGCCCAGGAACAAAGTGGCGCCAAATCAGCTCTGTGACATAAGCATTGGATTCGAGCCACACAGCCTTTGGACCTGTACTTAATTTAAGCCATCATGTGTGTGCCTCATTTAGCTATTGATTAAAGACCTCGTGTGTTGGGAGGCTCAATTAAGCTGTGCACTGCTCGCTTAAGAGCGAGATGCTCTTCCGACCCACGACGCGTCAATACGAGGCTCTGGAACAGTGTTTAAAGAGAACGTTTCGTGATGGCTTTGTGCAATAAGAATGGCGCAAATACAAACGAATGTATTAAATTAGCATTTTTATTATCGTTATCATGACATGTTTCCATTCAACGAGGAAGCAGAAGAGATGGAGGCCTGGGTAAGAAATTGCAACGCGATGGTGTTATCCTTATATCACGATGATGTGTTATGATTGTTAGGTCATGAGGTTCAGAAACATCCTGATGGAAATTCATAGCCCGGCAGAGCATCAGATTATACCAGGGAATGAACGGCTGAAATGAGCCCAATTTGAAGTCACTTTAAAACAAGATATACATCAATAGGCCTCTCTTATCCAACACTCACATCGGATGCCTCAAACACCTGCATATCAATCATTCAATGTTCACCACACTTTCCTGTGGCAAGGGTCGGTATATCCGTAAGACAATAACCATTGCTGTTTACTTCCCACGACGCAGTTATCAACTTTAGTAACCCTGGATAGTTGATGGGCCGAGTGAAACCCTGACTGGGATTTGAACTCGTGGGACGTGAACTCGTGGCATGTAAACACGTTTTTACGTCTTGATGTTCATTCTTTCATGTGGCATAATCGGCGACACGTACCGGAGGAAATCTTCCAGGATGGCATGGGTCTTATTGTCCTTAATGAATGTGGGGTACAGGTTTTTGAAGTGGTTGTTGATGTGTCTGTTTGGAGAAAAACAACAACAAAAAGCACGCAGCACATTTATAATTTACTGCAGAAGACTCCTCGTTCATGGCAAGCAGTGGGGTTATTTAATTCAAGCAAATGTGCCCATGTTCAGTCTTGGTGCGTGTGATGACGCATCGTGCTCAATACCCCATCCCATGGGCACCAACCACCAATTGCGATTGATGGTGGCAGTGCCAACTTCATTCGCATCTTCCAATAACAAAATCGGGATCTTTACCACCACTGCGAAGGTTTTTGCAGTTGTGCTGCATGGCTCTCCAATGTGTTTTTGGGTTGTTACGCACGATGTCCTACATTTCACTTCACATGCTGGGAGTTTATTCAGGAACCTAGTTCTGAAAATTCCAGAATTTTTAAGTTGTAAAGCAGCTTCCAGTGCACGCAAACGAAAAGTTGGATATCGTGCCGAACAAAGCATGCGGTACAACTGGAAAATAAATCACAGAACCAAGTTTGACCTTCACTTGGAGCGTTGTATTTTCGGATTGCATTTCACTCTTTCCTTCACTTCACAGGCGTGCAGGTTGTGGCTTGGCTCTCTAACACACCGGTGTGCTGTTCTAGTGACGAATTGGCACGTTCTGTTAACATGACAACCCTTACAAGTCGGCTGTGTCGGGTGGTGGCGGGTTTAACGACACATTATTATATTTACGCAACCTAACCCAAAACACCTATATTATGTGGGTGTGTAAACATCGTCACTGGAGAGACAAAGACGGCCGGGCGTAGTGCTGGCCACCTCCCCCCCCCCCTCGTGTGCCGTGCCGGCCTTCACAGGCGCTACTCGTTAACAGCACTTGCCCCAACAGCCTGCCAAGGCTACACGGGGGCTCTTTGTCTATGTGCGTGCGCGCACCGTGCCGTCAGGTATCCTTCCACGTATCCGGCCAGGAAGGCGACGTCGGAGTCCCCGATGGCGCCGCGGCCGCCACCGTAGCCCGAGCGCACCTCGAGCGCGGCCCAGCCCGTGGAGAGGAGCGAGTCGTTGAGCGTCCCGTACGCCGCTCCTCCCACCGGGTCCAGTTTGCCCAGCGCCACGTCCGGATGGCGCGGGTTGCCGCTCACGTACAGCGTGACCGTCGTGTAATCTGAAGTCACGAAGGCAAAGGTCCCCCGTGTATATCCTTTCAACAGACTGTTGAGAGCAAGTGCAGTTGGCGAGTAGCGCCGACGAAGGTCGGCACGGCGCGCGTGGCGGTGGGGTGGCCAACTCCACGACCCGACCGCCTCTGCCCACCGAGTGGCGATGTTTACACATTGCACCGCGAGTACTCACTTGATACCGAGTCAACCCAGGGGAGGCCACGGTAACGGTTAAAATATTCATCACTTATAATGGTCATGAGCAGGATTCCAGCGTGGGTCGCGGGGTTTGTAGGGTGGTGCGCTAACCACTACACTACACTTCCACTCCCCGTAATCTTAATAAGTCACATGGACGCACAGAGCGAGTACGCATATGTCCAATTCAACTGAACTGCTAGGGAAGGTGCTACTGACTGTTGTCACGGGTTTGGCACGCGATTGTATGTAAATAGGATGTTGTTCAGTGCATGGCCGCCTTTGCCTCCTTAACACATGGGATGGGAATCCTGTGTTGCCAGAGGACCATTTTAGCCTGGCAAAGTACTCTGTCTGCGCCTGTCACCATCATTAAATTGGCAGAGTAAACACCCCGATGAGTATAGATGCGATGAGCAGGGCTCGAGGACGCAGCCTCCTGGATTACTCAGAAATGTGTGCCAGCTCCATTTTCTGTCAAGTGCAGTGGTGCATAAACACATGCACGTGTGTATGTTGAACTTCTATTGCATCGTACGTAGCCAATCGGAGGTGTGGGAAAACAAGCCGTGGGCCGTCTTGTGACCACGAGAATGAGGTCATGAACAGTGCACATTTCGCGAATGAAAAGTGAAAATATCACGCGAGATCACTTCTGCATTTTTGGTACGAAATACAGTTGACGGTAACTTCACAACGCAGGTCTAACTGGGCAAAACATTACTGGTAACTTTACAATGCAGGTCTAACTGGGCAAAACATTACTGGTAACTTTACAATGCAGGTCTAACTGGGCAAAACATTACTGGTAACTTTACAATGCAGGTCTAACTGGGCCAACACCACTGGTAACTTTACAATGCAGGTCTAACTGGGCCAACACCACTGGTAACTTTACAATGCAGGTCTAACTGGGCCAAACACCACCGCTTTATCATGGGACCTTTTTACCAGTATCAAAGTATTAAAAATAAGAATAGGTTTTACCCTTTCTGCCAATGAAACAGGCGTCAAGATGTTCAAACACCAAATAGATCCCTTTCGCAAGGAATAAAGTCTACATTAACCACACGCACTTTTGGTTGTATTGCCAGAAGGAGTAAACCCGATTCTTATTTTTCACCACAGCTTCACCTGGTCAAAATGAGACAATCTGGACCATACTGTATTGCTGGGGGGAGGGCAGCATTGGCAGAGTGGTCTGCGTGGCACTACGCTATGAATATAACAGCCTGTGTTCTATTCCTGGCCACGGCCAACATCGGTGGCGAGTGATGTCTGAAGCGATTCCAGTCTCTCATCCCGTCCGCCGTGTTTCAAGAGCCAAGGAGCGGTCAAACAACCCCCCGTGACGGTCAAGGTGTGAGTAGCCTTCCATCCACGTGTGCATTTACAGATGGCCGTCTAATGTACAATACGAAATGTCATCCTAGATTAAGCTAGCTTATAATAACAAGTTACACAAATACAGTTCCATGCATTCGGAGTCGATCGCCTGTATTTTAGCTCGTGTTAGTATAAGAGGCATGAATGGAAAAGTCTAAAAGTTGAAAGTGCCGAATATCTGAAATCCCAACGTGTCTGCGGAGCACGTGACCCGGAGTGGCGTAGGGGCAGCAGCAGCAGCACACGAGTGCATTAGTGGACCACTGCTTTAGCAACATTCATCTCAACCGACTTCGCTGCTTATACCCCCCCTTACTGCCAGTCACGTTGTGCCGCACAGGGGTAGCTGCCACCAGGGGTGCACTTTCAAATGTATTGATGAGATGTGACGCCAAGTGCCTTGATACACGCGCGGTGTATAGGAGGGCCATTCTATCAAAAACACATCATTGTAATTATTACACGTGGCTGGCAGTTGGAGGGCAGTGCAAAACACCCCATTCGCGTGTAACCGTAACTCTATGATGCTACGTCTGTGTACCCAGCCCTCACCAACCCGCACTGACCAGAGAGGTGAAGTATGGTCGAATTACTCCACCACGGATTCTCTCTTAAGTTAGAAATGCCGACCAATGAGTGGCAACAGAGGCCAACCACAGCTGTCCGTGTTACCGTATTCTCCCCACTCCAGCCCCTGTATTTCAAAGCAAAGTTGTTTGGGGGTAGGGTCCGTCTTATAATCCGGTAGCTGCGCGCACGTGTGCGACTAGGATCAGGTATTTGACCCCATGGGGCTCAAGTTTGGGATCAGTCTTATTTTCCGGAGCGTCTTATAACCCGGAAGAGAAGACGGTGGCACGGAGAGTTGCTGATGTTGCAACACGGCCTTGTTACACAGCCACTTGCTTCACAATCCACGCGGCGTGAGAATTGGCACCAAGACGCGCGCCTAAGCAGACCACCACACGGCGTCTCTCACACCACATCACACGCGAGTCATCACATCAACCTCGTCTCGAGCCTCACACCAGAGTGTACCGCGTCGCAAACGTCGTCTGTCTCGCTCGCTCTCGCTCTCACCTGCATCTGTTCCCTGAGCACAGCACATCAGCAACACGAGTGCCACGCAGGAGATGGTTCCCGCCGTCTTCTTCACGTCCTTCATGGCCCTGAGTTGTCAACACGCAGACGACACACACACACAGACACACACGCAGAGAGCCCTCTGCTCCCTCGCTGGTTCGCTTCCTGTCTCCCCGGCACGCACCGAGCAGCTGTTTGTCCCCCCCACCCCCAGCACGTGCCAATCAGCTGATCTGTCCCGACCCCCACACCAAGCACTGGCCAATCAGCTGCTGTGCCCCACCACTCCAACTTCAAACGCCGATCAGCTGATGAGTCCCCCCCTCTACAGTGCGAGCTGATCAGCTGATGAGCCCCGAACTGGATGAGCTGATGAGCCCCCCCCCATCCCCCCACGATGCGAGCTCAACAGCTGATGACCCCCCCCTCTATCCCCCTACGATGCGAGCTCATCAGCTGATGACCCCCCCATCCCCCCACGATGCGAGCTCAACAGCTGATGACCCCCCCTCTATCCCCCTACGATGCGAGCTCATCAGCTGATGACCCCCCCCCTCTATCCCCCTACGATGCGAGCTCATCAGCTGATGACCCCCCCATCCCCCCACGATGCGAGCTCATCAGCTGATGACCCCCCCGCCGTCCCCCCACGATGCGAGCTCATCAGCTGATGAGCCTTCCACTGCACGAGCTTTACACGGGGCGATCAGCTGATGATGCCCCCCCCCCCCCCCCCCCACGACTAACAGGGACTGGTGACGATGCCTCCTCTCCCCTCACTCTGCCGACCGCGGCATCAGGAAATTCCGCATAGAACCACGTGGGGCGGCGTCGCGAGCGCGTCACGCGGGATGGCTCATGCCAATCATCGCCAGCAGTAGCAGCAGTATCAGCAATCATGAGCATCAGCACCATGAGCAGCAGCAGCATGGGCAGCAGCAGCATCAGCACCATGAGCAGCATGAGCAGCAGCAGCAGCATGGGCAGCAGCAGCAGCAGCATGGGCAGCAGCAGCAGCAGCATGGGCAGCAGCAGCAGCAGCATGGGCAGCAGCAGCAGCATGGGCAGCAGCAGCAGCAGCATGGGCAGCAGCAGCAGCATGGGCAGCAGCAGCAGCATGGGCAGCAGCAGCAGCATGGGCAGCAGCATGGGCAGCAGCAGCAGCATGGGCAGCAGCAGCAGCAGCATGGGCAGCAGCAGCAGCAGCATGGGCAGCAGCAGCAGCATGGGCAGCAGCAGCAGCAGCAGCATGGGCAGCAGCAGCAGCATGGGCAGCAGCAGCAGCAGCATGGGCAGCAGCAGCAGCAGCATGGGCAGCACCATGAGCAGCAGCAGCAGGCGGTGATAAACAACAGAGCCCACTGCTCTGCGTCTGTCTGCACAGCGGCAAGTCGTGTTCATGAAATCGCCTGCGGTGCGGTACAGCGACTTGAACTCGCAGCTTTGATGCGAATTATACAGCACTGCCAACGTTGACCCAACGTCCCGTGTGTACCTGGCATCCATTGGCTGTGTTTGTAGATATCCCGATGTGTGAGACAGGACAAACGATGCACACGCCGGTACACAGACACGGCAGGGCATGCAGAGAGATACACAGCTCACGGCGACGTGAGCCGCAGCAAGAACATCCCTCCGCGCTCTCCTCCACGCGCCCCTCTCACCCAGCAGGCGGCACGTGGCACACAACGGGGGTCTGCGTTCGTGGCTGTGAAGCACGTGGAGGGCAATCGTCACTTTGCACCTCAGATGCTGCTGCTGTGCTTGATGTATGGGGGGTGAGAGTCACAGCCTGGCGTGAGGGTCAGACTCGGGGCAGGGGAGAGGGTCAGACTCGTCGCAGGGGTGAGACTCACAGCCTGGCGTGAGGGTCAGACTCGTGGCAGGGGAGAGGGTCACGTGGCAGGGGAAAGTCACAGCCTGGCGTGAGGGTCAGACTCGTGGTGGTAGAGAGGGTCAGACTCGTGGCAGGGGTGAGACTCACAGCCTGGCGTGAGGGTCAGACTCGTGGCAGGGGAGAGGGTCAGACTCGTCGCAGGGGTGAGACTCACAGCCTGGCGTGAGGGTCAGACTCGTGGCAGGGGAGAGGGTCACGTGGCAGGAGAGAGTCACGGCCTGACGTGATGGCGATCGTCCTGGTCGCCCTCACGAATGAGGCATCCTGGAATCTGAATTTCCGGCCGGGGTCAAATGAGATCAACTCGAATTGATGCGAAGTGAGAGGCGCGCCGTGCTGCGTTGGCTTCTGGTTGCTGTGCTTCCCCGCACCACCGATTAGCACGGTTGGCCTGGTCACAAAAGCAAAGTTTGTGGGGAATAATATCAATTTTCTATACTTTTTAGGCATAAGAAATTAAAAAATAACACTTAATACCCAGGAACAAAAATTGTGTTGCATAGTGTAATCAGTGGAGAGCTCATTGAATTAAAAGTATATTGTTGAAAAGAGACCTTGGCCAAAAAAAATGAAAATAATCCAAAATGTAAAATGACAAAAAATAATCGGCCCCATTGTGGATAAAATAACATAAACCAGGTAAGCATGTATCGTGCCACATCTCCATGTATCTGTTCTTCCGCACAAAAAAAAACAACTAAAGTATGACACAACCCATCCGATAGATGGCCTTTCTGTGAGTGTATGTCGAGCAAACTCTGGACCAGTTTCAATCCCCAGTGTCTCACCAGCAGAGCCAGACCTGCTTGAATCGATGCTGGCGGTCTGCCAGATGCCACAGGGAAGAACCGCCAAGTTGGACGCAAGGCCGTATTGTTCGTGACACAGAATAATGAGTGTCGTGAAGAATGCAAATAACATGATACACGTTTCTCCATCTCTTACGCAATTCGCCGTCTGGGAGTCCACAACCCCAGCAATGTTGACAGAGTTGGTACAGTTTGGCCAACGTATAACAATATATATATAAATATTGATCGTACTGTATTTCATCATACAACTAACTCAGCCAGAAAAGCGTGAGGAATGTCCATGCTCTGTGTGTGGAGGATTCATGCTATCGAAGACATTGAGCCCATTCCAGAGTTAAAACATTGTCAGGGGGCTCGTGGGAGAGGAGCGACCTCGATCCGCCACGGGGGTTTCTAGGTCTCTGCAAAGCGCACGAGCAACTCGAGTGTGCTCAGAAGGGGGGCACTTGAGCCGATAAGGGGCCGTCCTTAATTAAATAGACTTTTTAGTAAATGTTTTTTTCCTACAACATCAGATTGCAGCGCCACATTAAATACGCACTACAATGACAATAGTTTAAAGCGATTTGAAGCATGTCATATTTTTGGGGGGGAAGGGGGACAGAGCTTTGTGACGTCATATTTGAGGGGGGGGGGGGGAGTAAAAACTCGTCCAAAATCGCGTGACGTTATTTATGGACGGCCCTAAGATATCGTCAGTGTGATGACCGACACGCCATTTGAAACCATCGTGGGCTTTGACAGCAGCACCATAACGACGATGGTGATGATGGTGGTAGTGATGATGACGATGGTGATGATGGTGGTAGTGATGACGACGATGATGGTGATGATGATGGTGGTGATGGTGATGATGATGGGGGGTGTTTCACTATTGTGTCTTGACGGGAGCCGCACTAAAGGCCACCGCGGGACTTTCCCCGGGCCAAGAGAAGCCCCCAAGTGAATCCCGCCCTGCCAGGGCACGTGGCATCAGCCGGCCACGCCACTCGGGCAGCCCACTGAGTCACCCACCACCCATCACCACCGGCTCGCGTGCCTCTGGCCAAGTCTCAGACGTTCACGCCCTCCTCCTCCTCCGCATTGTTGGGGAGGGGTGGCTGTTGGATTTAGCCAATTAACGAAAACTTTACTGGCGGCGTAAGAGGCGGCGAGTGTGGGTGTTGTGAAAGCAAACAAAGGGAATTGTGGACATCTCGAGAGAGCGAGAGAGAGAGCGAGTGTGCCCGCCCACGTGTTCCGCTTGCACTCACAGCGCCAGCCCGCCCGGGTGTATTTGCCTACTGTGGCTGTGAAGAAAGATGTCGCTGCGTCGTCGTGTGTTCATGTTGGACCACGGCCCAGGAAGAGAAGCGAGTGAATGATGGGGGGTCACGCACAACGCGCTGAAGGATGTAGCGTGAGTGGAGCTACCGGCATCACCGACAACGCCGAGCTGGTGAGCGCTGATTACACCACCCAGACCGCTACGTTGCATTTGTAAGTGGGCAGTTGAAGTCGACGTTTCGGGCAATGACCCTTCGCAGCACGTTTCGCGCAGTGGCCTTCTTGCGCCGTGCAGAGAAGGCCCCTTGCCCGAAACGTCTCCTTGTTTTCATTTTGAATCCGCTGTTGCTGTTGGCTGTGTTGAGTTGTCTCGTTGTCAATTGTGCCTGGTGCACCACTGCCAACATAATTTGTTACCAGTTAAAGCGATCGTCATTGTGCTTTATTAGGGATACGTCTAACAATAATGATGTATCTGTACGAGTGCTCGTCGCTTAGACGAATACAAGTGCCGTAAACTCCGGATTGTAAAACGCAACACCCCCTCGTATTTTCAAGCAAGAGTTTTGTTTGCGTCTTATAATCCGGACAATATGATAATCTAATGGTCGTTAAAACGTGCTGCGTTTCATTCAGCTGAGTGGCCATCATGGGCCAAATTGATACCGATTGTATCGACCACGGAGAAGATGATGGGCCGAGTCGAACCCCGACGGGGATTTGAGCTTGTAGCCCACAGAAGGAATATCGAGTAGCCTCAGCGGTTCAATGCAAGCGCTTGTAAGTAAAGCACCGTACAGTACAAGTACTGAAAACTTTCGTGACCGCAGGAATTCATCTTCTTGGTTATTTCGGTAAAGTCTCAGAGATAGAAAATTAAAATATAAATACTTTCTCTCCGCATGATGAAGACCGCTTGTGTTGCAATCGAAACGTCGTGGGCTTTTTGCTTTTATTTTAATTTATTTTTAATTTTATTTTCTATCTACGTGACTTTACCGAAAGAACCAAGAATATTTAAAAAATACTGTGACTTTTTAAATTTAATAATTAAATATAATTATCTTGATTATTAAACCGCTGAGTCCGTGGCGATGCCACGAGAGGGAGCCGCACGGAGCCCCTGGCAGCCTCGTCTCTGCACTCCCCACAGACGCGAGGCACACCCAGTGCGCACACACACGTAAGGGGAATACCAGGGACACGTGGTCTATTAAAGCCTTGTCCTCTTAGAGGTGCAGTCCTGTAATGTTCTAGCAATACAGTACAGTGACACGCACAAGAGCAATACTACTGCAACGTGTTGTTTTCAGTCTCTCCTTGCAGCGATCCAGTAGTGGAGAGCTCGTGGCTGGTGAGATGATAACATGTTTGTCGCAAATAGTTGTACGAATACAGGTTTGGGCATTCAGAAGCCCCTCGGGGTGGCGTTTGGGTGTGGATCATTCTACTGTTTCACTGTCGGCAGACCAACCTTTGTGGGACATTTAGAAAATCATGTTTCTGTGTAATACTGAAATTCAATCCATGAGTCAAGGTACAGCTGTGGCTCTGATGGTGCTTGCTCTCGACATCGCTGCCAGTGGGACCTCCACAGGAGAGGGAGAGATGGCTCTTAGAGAACCCATACTCTTTGGTTTTTTCGGTAAAGATTTGTCCATGAAGCCATCCAGATATACAAACATAGACACAACTTCAACCGAGAGGATGGTTTGTAAATTAAGCAATCATTGGAAAGATGTCATCAACCAAGTCAAACTTTAGCTGCCTTATAATTGTACAGCCATATCCATGTCTTCCAGTGTTTTACTCCCAGCCTGATACACCACCATCACTCGTCGCGCAGATACTGCACCCGTGCACAAACTCCCCTCGACCTGACATCACAAAAGAATACAGATGGTTATCTAGATGGTTATCGATCGGCTTAACTCGTGCTAATCCCGTGCCCGACCGTGCACACTGTCTGCCACATGCCCCCCCCCACCCCTTGACTCCCCCCCCCCCTAACACCCTATATAAACACGTTGTCTCTGAATAACCCTCTTCATATGCCTCAGTAATTTTGCTGGAGCAGTCAACACCTGATGACGGTTGCTTGTGTTGCTTCCTAAACGTCGTGATTAAATTTATTTTATTTAATATTTCTCACCTACGTGACTTTACCCAAAAAACCAAAGTGTATGGATCCTTGCAGTCACGAAAACTTCAAATCTTAGAGAACCCCTCTAATTGGCCTACTCTTCCACGGTATTATAATTACAGCCCGGTATATCTTGTATTTATTATGCATCATGTAGAGGTTTTACCTGTATTTGAAATAGGTCAGCGGTGTTGATTTGTTTTACCATTTAATGGTGAGTGATCCAGCTGATTGTCATGTGAGTTCAGTCCATTAAATTATCTTCATATTATTAGGGTGATGCGTTCATTGATACTCTGCTGAAATTTTAATGACCCTGTTCTCAAGATGCGATTGAATGCAGTGCAGTACTCTTACCGAAAGAACCAAGAATAAGTGCAGTACTCTATTGTAAAGACTGCCCCAGTAATAAATACCATTTGCCAATGTGTTCGTCCATATGTTGTGATCACGTGAATGCACACAAAGTGGTATGTTATTGTACAGTATTGTGTGAAATGGTGAGACACGTGGAGTGGCAATGAATGTAAGTTTACATCATCGCCATTGTGATGATGATGGACGGGTCACATCAGTGTGTACATTAGTAACATTTAAATGCCAGTACAGTGCAATGTGTTTTTCTTGCATGTGTCATTTAGTGTGGGCGTATGGACAATGAGTAGGCAGCTAGTTCATAGCTGCTGCTGATTGAAAGGACGTTGACAACCCAGCCAGCCACCTGGAGGAAACGTCGCTCCAACGTGATAAGAGGAAGTGCATTTTACACACTTGAGTTTCATTGGGCTCTTTTCAAACACAGACGATTACGGTACACGTCTTTAAACGCAAAAGGTAGCTGTCGTTTCTTTAAGGTTCACCTTCTGGTGGAACGGACCTTTTTTTTGTCCCACTGAACTCTGTATAATATAAACAAGGCTGGATTGTGCAACCGCTAACCAGTAAAAGGCTGCCCTGTAACACATTCAATTTGGTATTTGTGATTGAGTGGTCTTGATTACGTTGCTTTCTTGTTGTGCTAAAGTCTCTGTTCCTCTTTGGCAGTGTTTTACTCGAGCATTTGTTCTAAGTACTGTATCCTTCGCATATAATTAAATATTAACAACACATTGTTAGCCAAAACTAAATCTCTGGTGCAGGGATATGCCTGGAAAGGACAACACATTATTTACGCGCGCTGTACGTGGCAACGTCTAAGGTAGATAATAACCACAATTTCTCGTGCAACAAATTAAAACAGAATTTAACATCATTACGGAACGCACCGTAGCATGAAATGGTTCTATACTGCTACAAATACGTGTCCAGAATGAAACCTCACCATCAATTAATATACAAAAATCAGGTTCTTATGTGTATGAAAATGCTTCTATTGCAGTCGCGGTAATCACTTCCTTACGCTCAGTGCAGTACCATTTGTTATTGACACTTCAAGCTAAATGTAATATTGCTGGGGCTCTTAACTGGGGCTCTAATTACAGTAACTAAATTACTGTTGAACTTGTCTTCAGTGACGAAATAAAGTGAAAAGCGGCACAACATTGCGGAATGCAAAATCTCAACTCTTACATTATATTTTGATTTAAAGCTTTCGTGACTGCAGGGATATAGTTCCGTTTGCTGCAGTATGACTTTGCTGTAAAGTACACGCATTTCCCAATCTCATTGGGCTTTTTCTCTGCCAGCCAATGTATTTTTAAATTGTTGCACAAAAGCGTGTGCCATATCGGGAAATGCACGTTTAAATCATAAACCTCACCACAATATCCGGCATTTGCTCATGTTACGGGAAAGGGTTTTCAACGTTTTCACTTAGTTCTACCTTTTTAGTGAAAGCAGTCTTTTTATTTGTAGCAGAGAAAGTTTCACATTATTAAAAATTAGTTTATTTTGGGTTAGATCGTGTAGGGCGCCACGGTGGTGAGATGTTAACTACCTCGCCTGGTATCCAGGAGGTCGTGGGTTCGTTCCCGACCCTGATGCCTGTATATTTGCAAGTCTGCCTGTTCTCCCCATGGTTGCGTGCATTTTTTCTCTAGGTTCTCTGCTGTTTCCCTCCACATTTAGAATCAACGTGCGTTTAAGGTATTGGCTGCTGCTATAAATGTCCACATGATAAGCCACTTCGTTGAGCTGTCATTTGTAGCCAGGTCGCTTCTGAAAAGGAGCTGTTTATCTCCGTGGGCCTTACATGGTAAAATAATAGAACAGAAATTACTTGTTTACCTATAGGCCTGCTACACAACCTGACAGCCAATCAGATAACCTTGTCACGTGGACAGATGTGCCAATTGATTCGGACGCTACCATTTTGTACAAGGTGAGGTCCTAAAAAGTTGTCAAATGTTGTTAGCTTTTCAACATTCCCGAATCAGTTGGCATATTTCCCAATGTCACAACTTCATACGATTGGCTCTTGGGTGGTTGAGAGTTAGAGTTAAAAAAAAACTATATTTATACGATCTAATCCAAAATTAACTAATTATGAATCATGTCAGTCATGAAATCCTACGTATAAAATCATCTTTCACATCTTAATTATAACGTGCAGCCCCTTTGTCAATCCACTGATGAATGGAGGCCTCCTCCCCACGCCGTGTCTGTCGGCCTTGGTGGTCGTTGAGCCTCGCGTCACGCTGGTCAGTGCAGGTTTGGCAAGGGAGGAGGGCTGCCACAACTACGGTAGTTCCGCTCGCCACTGCTGTGTTAGCCTTTGCGGAAATCGAGCTCCCGGTACCGCTGTGCCACTTGCACCCGTTTTATGCCCATCTTAAAGCCAACTATAAATAAGTGCTGTTTTGCACGTGTTCACTTGTGCGGAGGCCTTTTTGTTCTGTTTAACGCCACGTAGGCTTTCGCGACCAGTGTTATTCATTGTTCTGTAATGGGACGTAATGACATTTTGAAGACTATAATGAAACTAAAGGTTATTTGTTGTGTAAGGTCACGGTGACACTGACCCGCGGCTGGAGTCCAATACCGTATCCAGCATATTGGAAGGTACCAGAAAGGCCATGTCATCTGAATTCAAGGCGATATTTTCAGTGGATGGGCAGAACTTGACTTGTTTGTTTTCCACTGCACGAATTCTGATGTTTGTGGAAGTTCTTTTCAAGCCTGGCAGAGCTTATGGGAAGTAAAAAAACGGTTAGAATTCTCCACACGTACAATTGCCTCTGCCAGCATGGAATTCACTTCCCACCCCGCCATCATTGGAAAATAATCTTGAGAGGCAACATCTGGTTTAATTGCTGCCACTGTTCAAGGTCGATAAAAAGAGGAAGGCCTTGAACTTCCCCCGAGCCTTCCTCGTTTCCTCTACCAATGACTGTTTCGCTGTGTAAAATAAGATAAATAAGACTCCCTTTCCCCTGCTAGTCCAAGTTGCGACGTTTTTCTTCTACAGAGTATTGGGGTCCATTTGCACTTACTACACTATACTGTGTTAATCCGAATTGCAATTGTGACATTTAATGGGAAAATACACCGCTTTATGTGAGCCGCTACACATGTCTGCGTGTCTAATCGGACACAAGCATGTTGAGTATATAATGTACAATATCAATTTGGTTTTATTAAATTATATTTTTTAATCAAGCAAATTTACACGTACCTGTTTTGTAACTTACATATCTATAAATGAAAACTACTTAAAACAACCGATGCCATCGGTGAATGGGGAATAATAATAATATTAATAAAGAATCAGAACCGGTTGGTTGAGTTGGGCTGCTGCCTCAATAAGAGGCATTGCGACGTTGCCTGGTGCTTTGTGTTTTTTATGCCATCTCATGCAGTCGGACTTCTCGGTTTGGTCGGTTGTTACTGTCTGCATACATTCTGGGTGTCTGCCACATTGTTACGTGGTAAATGAATAGGACAAGACAATCTTGTGGTTTGTTCCACAAAGAACAGGGGGCCTATGGGCAATAAGGGGTCAAGGGAACTCCGGCCGCGGTCAGACTCATCGTGGATTAAGTAAGTTGCCTATTTCTTAACTAAACACTAATCAAATACAGTACATTATACAATAACATAATCAAACATAAACATTAAGTGAACTTTACATTTTTATATTGAGGGCAGAAGTCCATGATTATGATGATGACAATGAGACAATGGGGGGGTGGGGCGTGGGGAGGAATGGCTCAGCCCCACCCTCTTCCTCCGGGCCATTAATGACATGTGAGTGGGCAGGTGAGGAAGCAGGCACAGTGGTGATGTTGGCTGGATCGGTGGTGCTGTTTCGGTTCATTAAAAAAAAGTTAGGCTGGATGGATGCTGCATTATTTTGTCTTGTGTGTAAGTCCCGGTACACGTCGCTGCGTGATTGCGGTGCGACACGGTCAACAAGACAGACGGACAGCTCACAAGCTGCGTAGCGTCACGGTGGCGCGGACGAGAACCGCGCGGCCCCGAAAACGTTGCGAATGCTTTTTTGGGGACCCGTGCTTAGCCGTGGACACTCAAAATGTCTCGGCCGCCTTTGGTAAAATTGGTATACAACTAATAAAGCGTGTGTACATGAATGCCGTGGTTGGCAAGTCCGTGTTTGGCGAGGGATTATTACTGTCTATAGAATAGTGTGAAAGAGTAGGCCAAAAAATAGAGGGGTTCTCCAGAGCTCTCTCTAGTGCTGACCCCTCTTCCAGTCGTGGCAAGAGCAAAACATTTCAGGGCTGCACCTTTACCTTGTTACCCCTATACCTTTTATAATGCGTCTGAGGTGACCCATGATCTTGTATTTAACCTGTTCGTTTTTTTATTTCTGTTACAGAACTGCATCTGGAGCAGCTTCAGCGCGTGAAAACCCCAGTAAATGGCAAATGTCAACCGGTTGCGGGAGAATCTTCCTGGCTTCGTGGAGGCCCTGAGGACGTGCGTCGAGCCTGTCCTCGATGTCCTGCTGGCGAGGGGAGCGCTCGTGGAGGATGACGTCCACCGCGTGCGCGCCGGGAGGGTTCCCGACGACAAGGCGCGAGAGCTCCTGGCGAGGCTACGTGGCAGGGGCGAGGAGAGCTGCGAAATATTCCTCCGAGTCATGGACGGTCAGGAGTACGCTTCGCAGACCGCGCGGAGCCCCCAACGGCAGAGGCATCGGGAGTGCCTGAAGAAAAGGCACAAGGTTGTGCATGAATACGGGGTGTCCGGGCAAAGCGGCAAGATGGTCTGCTCTCATTACGTGCCGACGACCATCGTCGCCAGCAGAAAAGTGACGGACAGGCCCAGCAACGAGGTGCTGGACAACATCGAGAGGTACCAGTCGCTCTCCAACGAGGACGGTTCCTTCACGCGCGTGCTGGAGAACGAGCGGATATTCCTGGACGTGGCGGGTCAGGCGCCCCGGCTTGTGCTCGTGCTGGGCATCGCCGGGGTGGGGAAGTCCACGTTTCTCCAGAAGATCATATGCGACTGGGCAGACGAGGTGGCCTTCCTGCAGTTTCACACCATCTTGCATTTCACCTTCAAGCTGCTGAATCAGGAGGAGCTGGAACGAGAGATGAGCTTGCACGACCTGGTCGTCAAACACTACAGCCACCTGAAGGATGAGTTGGAGAAGATGCTTAAGGACGAGCAGGAAGGTCTGCTCGTCATCTTCGATGGTCTGGACGAAAGCAAGCTCGACCTGAATTTTGAGACGACTCCGATATGCACCGATGTGCGTCGCCCCCAGAGTCTGCCCCACATGCTCGTGAATATCCTTCGGGGAAGCCTGCTCGAAAATGCGACGGTTATGGTGACCTCCAGGCCAGCTGCTTGTGGGACAATACCTGAAGACAAGGTGCAGCTTTTTGTTGAAATTTTGGGGTTTTCAAACGAGCAGAGGAAAGAGTACTTTTTAAAACACTGCGGAGAAGAGGAAAAAGCTAAGAATGTCCAACGATATATCAACATGAATAAACCCCTTTTATTGATGTGTCACATTCCAGCATTTTGCTGGATAGTCACTCACTCTTTGAAGGATATGCTGCCACAGGGACAAAGCGATCCAAGCAATGGCCCGCAGACCATGACCGAAATATATTCCACCTTCCTAAAACTCATCATCTCCTATCACGGCACAGAGGACACACGGAGCGTTCGCGTCCTGTGCAGGGACCTGACGAAGTACCGTGAGTGGATTCTCAATTTGGGGAAGGTCAGCTTTCTTGGCATGCTCTCTCAAAGCTACGAGTTTACCGACGAGTTCCTGCGAGCCAACGGCGTGGTGCTGTCCAACGTCCCCAGCATGTTCCTGCGTGAATTCCTGAAGCAGGAGAACATGTCGTGCAGGCAGGTGTTCCACTTCACTCACCTCACGCTGCAGGAGTATTTGGCCGCGCTCTACTTCGTCGTCGCGGTACTCCCGTCCTGCCGGCTATATTTCGGCGCGGAGTACGGCCCGGCGGCTAGGATGGCAGCTCGGGGCAGGGCGTGGGTCAGCAGGCTCTTCAACCGGCAGAGGCACCTCCGGAGGCAGTTCTTGTGCGCCGTCAGGGCGTCGCAAGAACGCTCGGGCAAAGGCCGCCTCGACATGTTCTGCCGCTTCGCAGCGGGACTCCTGTCGGAGCGAACGCAGCAGCTGCTGCCGGGCCTGTTGGGCGAGCGGAGCAGCCCCGATGCAGCTGCTGTGGCGGCCAAACTGGAAGTGATGGTGACCCACGGCGAGCTCCCGCCGGAGCAGTCGATCAACGTCCTGTACTGCCTGCAGGAACTGCGCATCACCAGCATTGTGGAGCCGGTGAGCATTTAACGCGGCCCAGACATAGGCGCAAAAACTTCACGACTGCACGTGATAATTGTTATAGGTAGTTTGGTTATTTGCCCTGTTCGCTTTGCAGAACGATGTTATAAAGCATTTTCCAAGATATCTGTTCAGGCGTGGAAGAGTAGGCCCAATACCTTTTGTCAGGAGCTTTCCAGCGCTCCCTCTGTTTTATTCGGCATGCTGTGGTGATTCCTGCCGTGTATTTCCTTCTGCCAGCAGTGGCTTGAGCAAGAAATTGCGTTTTATGATGCAAGAAAATATTTGTTTAAGCAAGCGGCTCTCTGAACCCAGAAGGTCGAAACCAGCATATTGATACAGAAAATATGCTGCAGAGGCACTTTGCAGTGATACTTTCATCATGTTTTTTCTGCCGCATCTTAAAAAAGTGTTTTCTCACATGCATACCTGCCAACCCCTTATCAGTGCCTACATTATTACAGACCAATTCAGACCTTATTGGTCACCCCGTGCCCCTATAACTCTCAGCGGTCATCCTACAAAGTCCCATCACAAGGAAGAAACACAAACAAATAGAACAAAACAAAATTGCCCATATTGAAACGGCTGTACGCCGTATGGACCTGAACTCAATTTCCCTGTACAAGAATACGGGTAAACCGTATGCGTTGACAGGTATGCATATGTAGAGAATCGAACATGGCGACAACTATCGTGCCGCAGACTATGCATTCTTGTTACCAATCGCAGGACGCAAACCGCTGCGCCACCACTCCACCGCCGGCGGTGGAATGCGTTTGTGAATGTTCCCGTGGCTTTGCGCGCTGTAGGTGAAGTTGCTGCTGCACGGAAGGGGGAAGGTCGAAACGTTGCGCCCGTGTGACTACACGGCACTAGCCTTTCTGCTGCAGCTGGAGCTGACGACGTCCTCCCGGCAAGAACTGCCACTCTGGCTCGAGGGTTGCGACCTGAACCACGAAGGCCTCCGACGCCTCCTCCCCATCCTTCCGCTCTACTCCAAGATGTGGTACGAGTGCACGTGTAGCGCGAGTTATTACTTCAAATTTGTACCGAATTGTTAATTGTTGGCGATTGATCTCCAACACACAGAGTGTGCTGAAGCGGTGATAAATTGGCATGGTTGTTTCAAGTGTCAACTTTGGTACAGCACGGTCAAATAATCCTCGCGACTCGCACACCATGGAGTTTCCCTCGTCCAGCAGTAGGTCGGTAAAAGGGCTCTACGTATGCAAGTAAAGTCACATTTCGATTTAAAGCTTTCGTGACTGCAGGGATTCATCATCTTGGTTCTTTCGGTAAAGTCACGTAGAATGGAAATAACAAAAAATAAAACATAATAAAATAATTCTCACGACGTTTCGGCCACAACGCAAGCAGCCGTCCTCAGGTGGAGAGCAGATCTGTCGACCTGCTCACAGACCTGCTCTCCACCTGAGGATGGCTGGTTGCGTTGTGGCCGAAACATCGGAGAATTATTTTATTATGTTTCATTATTTTATTATTTCCATTCTACGTGACTTTACCGAAAGAACCAAGAAGATAAAGTCACATTGTGTACTTTGTGGCTCGTGCTGCTGAGCTGCGTGTCCGTGCCCTTATCGCTTCTTGACTTGGCCACCGTGACTCCCTCCTCTACGCCCTCCCTGATGTCCACCTTTACAAACTCCGGATGGCTCAAAATGGTGCTGCCCCGCATTCCCACCCGATCGCGTGAACACCACCCTTCACCCGTTTTTTTTTCCCCCTTTCGCTGGCTCCCTCATCCGTTGCCACATTTCCCATGACCTCGGGCTCAAAAATCCTCTGCAGCTTTGTCCCCCCCTATCTCTATCCTCCCTCATCTCTCCCTCTCTTCCACCTCTCAAAATATCTGGTCTTTTTACATATCCCTACTCTCCAAATCGAAATTCAATCTGAAATCCTTTTGGGTGGGCACTCCGATTCCCATTTTACCACCTCGATGTGGCACTCCCTCTTGGTATATTTCGGATTGACGCCCTCCCACAATTAATATCTCGTCATACTCTCTTTTTACTGGGGGTTGAAGGTCGTGGCACGGAGCGATCTGCACTCCTGACCCCCAGAAACTTACTACTCCCTACCCCCCCCCACCCCAAATGTCTCCAACTTCCCTGCCTTTTCTCTGGAATCTACTTGCCCCTTGTCATAAGGGCACCACGGTGGCGAAATATTAACTACCTCGCCTGGTATACAGGAGGTCGTGGGTTCGATTCCGACCCTGACACCTGCTGTATATTTCTCCCCGTGGTCACGTGGATTTTTCCCACACTTAGAAACAACGTGCGTTTAGAGTATTTGGCTGCTATACCCCCGCTTCCTTGTCTCTCTACCTCCCTCCAAGCTCCCTCTCCCTTTCTCCTCTTTCCGCTGCTGTTAATCTTTTTCTCCACGTTCCTTTTAAGTTATTTTAACCCTTTTTTTAAATACAATTTTATCGAGGGTTATCCAAGTTAAGGAAGTAGACACCAGGGATGTAGAGTTTATTGAAGCACATGGCATAGGCAGGTTCGAAATATAACACGTTGGTAATAATCATTGTACTCCGCGTTTTGCCTATGCTATTGTCAATTCCCATACAATGCCATCTGTGTGTACCTCCATCGTTTGTTCAATAAAATACTTTTGGAAGAAAAATTTTCAGTGTTTATTAATTATTTATCACGTGGTTAAGCACTGAGACACTGTGGTTTGAAGGGCGCACTATTAAAAAAAAAATTATTCTTGTATCCTGTGACAGCTTCAGCAACAACAAACTGGGGGAGAAGGGAGCAGAGGTGATTGCTGAAGCCCTGCGCAGCGAGGATTGTCGGATAAAGGCTCTCTAGTAAGTACTGAATCGCCCCAAAACACACCGTTATTATTACAGTAGAACCTGTCGGGAAACTGGCAGTATAAGCATGTTACAAATTAGTAACCCATACAAACAAAGTCTGTCAGATTCCTTTTATTTTACGTCGGGTTGTTCAATTATTTTAACAAACGTTATGCTTTGGTTACATTTAACATTTCCGCCTTAAAAGCTTTCTGCCGCTGTTCATAGGTTCACATTAGTGTGCGTGTGTACTTGTGTGTCGTACGTATGAATACGTCGTCTGAAAATATGTTTCGCTGCACATTCGCTTGCAGCATTACTCACAACAATGTCGGTGCCGAGGGAGCCAGACATGTGGCAGAGGCCCTGATGGTGAACACGAGCTTGGATGACCTCAGGTGAGGGTTTGCCACCTTGAAGTACTCGCGTTGCCACCTGTGCTAGCTTTTCCCCCGGATCTTCCTCTTTAACCCTTCCCCGTTCCGAGACGTTGCAGAGCTACCTCGGAGATCACTTCCAGTGGCACGCAGTAGGAGGCAGCACTTATACTCTTTCCTACAGCTCGTCACGTGACACTTCAACCACGCTATATTTTTATTTATTCACAACCGCAAGAGAAATTATACGTGGTGATTTTGTTGAGGAGTTAATTTTGACCTGGTTGAGACCATTAACTAACCACACTTGACCACCCAGTTTAATCGCAGGTGTCTGAAACCCAAATTCAAACCCAGGATCACAGCGGTGCCTGTTCAGTTCACTGGCCACGAGACCATTCCCGGGACGCTCGCTCCCAGGTTGTGTGTTGTCTCATCATGGACGGTTTAGTCACATAATTAGGAATCGTTTCTTTCGGGCGAAATGCGTCGCATCGGATTGCCTGACCCCCCCCCCCCAACCCTTTGACGCCGTAGGTTCGCCTGCAACAAAATCGGTGCGGAGGGAGCGCGCTACATCGGAGAGATGCTGAAGGTCAACACAACTTTAACCAACTTGAGGTTAGTATTTACGCGTATAAAATTATAAAGCGGTATTACCATTTTAGACATGTCCTTACAGATAAGTTGCCCAATTAATAAAAGGGTTGCCCAAGAGTTGGCACTAAAAGCCAGTGCCAAGTTGATAAGCTTCTTCAGGTCAAGGCAATGACATCACACTCCACGTGCACGCACCTCGCTTCCTCGTGATGCCATTACGTGTGACGTCGACTCGCAACATCACGCGTTTACATCATAGCATCGTTTGTTGTCCTTCCCCCGCACCTCCGATTAACACGGTTGGCCACATACGGTGAGCAAAAGAATTTCAACATACATATATTACGACTAATTAAATATTTCTGAGGACAAAAGTATAATGGAAAGTGTTATAGAATACGTACGTACGTACGATTTTTCTTCCTCGGTGTATAAGAAAATGTTTCTTATGTTGTAGGTTGAGAGACAATCATATGTGCGACGAGGGAGGAAGATATATCGTCGAAGGTCTTCGGCTCAACAGAGGAATGAAGGAGATCTGGTGCGTGGCATTCATATGGCACTCACAAGGCAAAAGCAGACTGCATTACAGAAACGTGAAATGCGAATTCGGTCGTTACAATTGCGGTGGCGTAGAAGAGTGAAGGTAGCATCCCTACATTGAAAGCACAGCCCTGTAGTTTAATTAGATTTTCGAATATATGCTGCGAAGGATAACCATTCCCTAAAATTATAATAGTTATTTTAACCAGGAATACTTCTTCTGAGTTGCAAGAAATGTTTTTTATTCCCCGGGCGTCTTTCTTTAAATGTTTGACCGATTAATTTTTCTTGTAAAAAAAAAAGAAGCTCTCCCTTCTCTGTCAGTGTTGGTGAAGGTTGTGCGTTGGGTTTCGTTCCATTTTAAGCTTTTGTTTTGCATGACAGGAATCTGTGGAGCCCAGTGGAAAGCCGTACACACAGAAATGCATTCGCTTAAACATCCACACGGGCAGGCCAACAACCTTGTTGCTGTAGCAACCTTGTTGCTGTAGCAACCTTGTTGGTGTGCTGCCTCGCAGGCCATGACGCGGTCTGCAGGACGTTTCCCACGCGTGACGGCGTGTGTGCGACCCTCCAACCCAGACCACGCAATCACAAAGCGTATCCAGAAGATAACATGGTGTCAACGTCGCCTATTATATATTTTTTCCACAAATTGTTAAACTATTATTTATGGTTTCATTTCAGGCCAGTGTTATTGACGAATATGCTTTTGATTGCAGGTGTGCGCATCTACGCTCGGTATTAAATACTCATGTTGTGTTTTTCAGACTATTTACGATGATGGTAAACCTGGATTCAGGAACATCCGCGTGCTTTCGGTGTTTGACGATTGTGTTTTATTGTCTATTCATATGTAAAACTATATATTTTTGTAATACAAACACAGAAGCAGTTTTAAATCACAGAATTGGCACGTGTTGTCAAGAGGCAATGTCTTCATTGATTTGTCCAACACCTGTTTAAAGTTTAACCTTTGTGGTTGTATTGTTTCTTCCAGGCTGTATGATAACAACTTCACTAAAACAACCAAAGATATGCTGAAAGTCTTGAAGGAGGAGAAGGCCGACCTAGAGATCTACTTCGAAGGATCTTGAAAATGAGCGTTTTATCATCATCATCATCGGCCATTTCCACTCCGTTGCTGCATAAAGAGAGGTGTGCAGTTCAGTTAACGTCGACAGAGGCGATTGATTTTATGAAGCTCAACATTGATCGTACCTTCACAGATACGTCGGTGAGCAGCTTTGCGATGAGTGATTACACTGAAGACTCGAGAAGAGTACGTGTAGAATTAGTTGCACCCTCTGGGGTTTCTTCAATATGACTCTTGATCTACACCAGATGGTGCAGTGGCTGGAACGATGTGACCCACAACTCAAAGAATACTGGGTTTCAATCCAAGCCAAGGTGGTCGCTTATTTCCTCAGGTAATGCGTAAAGCACTGTATCCTTTTGGAATGGTCATGGTCAGCAGTACATCACTAAATGCTGGAAGATATTTGTCAAGGCATATCTACACCAGGTGGCATGCCTCGTGAAGTCTCTTCATCCAGTACTGCCGTTGTCCACCCAAAATGTAAAAGTATACACCGCAGTATATTGTCGACCACTCGTCGTGGTGGAGTACTGTGGGTACCTGACGTTTTAATACCTGTTTGGCCGGTATTCAAATGATAAAAAGTGGAATTTGGAGGCCATCCATCTGTTTAGGCACTTTTCAAGTGTCAAAGTTAATTTCGTTTAGCCAGATGAGAACTCATTTGCAAGAGTGTTACAGTCGCCAAAATGACAAGCAAAACAAGAAATCCAAACCGAAAACAACCATCACATGAGAAATCAAACATATTGCACGAACATGACTCACTGTTAAATCAAAGTTACATATAAAATTCCCTTTAGTGCAAATCGGCTCGGGCAAATCATTTTAGACTGATAGTAGAAACACAAAATGAAGTTACAGGTGACTGTGGCACTAATATGTGAATAGACAAGGATATGAAATGCCATTCCGAGTGAAGTTATCAACATGTGTGGCATTGTGAGCGGGGCAGACCTTTTACAGAACAATGGGGTCAAGAGGTCACCACAGGCGTTGAAGCCATCACCCCTCACCATTGCTGCCTTGTGCTAGATCGCACGACCGTTGCCTCGTGTGAAGCACTCCAGTGCCTTTTTGCTATGATAGAAATCTCGTCTTAACGGCCATGGCTTTCTGTTACTACTGCGGGGTGACCCCAAGTGAATTGCGGTTTGACCTTTTTCAAGTCGGTGTTTAGTTTTCTTTCGTCTCACGCAATAATTCCAAGTTCAGCATTGTAATTTGAATGTCATATCTGTACTATATATTTGGTGTGTACAGGGTAGACTTAAAAACAAATTATGGAAACAAAAAAATCTGTACAAATATAATCGCAGCTCCTCCTCGTGGGCAACTGGCATGGCAAGTTGCAATCGGATCAGATGCAGAGATCACGTGACGAGTCGATGTCTCGCCCTCTTTAAAAAAGATGTGGTGGCTTTTAAGTCTAGATGCGAGGCAATAGTTTGGCTTGTTAATATTTTTTTACGTGTGCGACGGTATGGAGATGGTGGTGTGGTGACGTGGAGTTATGGTGTGGTGAGTTGGTCTGATGGGCCATGATGGGCCGCTTGAGTCATGTGAACTGCAGATGATCTCACTCTATAGACCAGTCATTGTTAAGCAAACACCACCAAGTTGCCATAGCTCATGGTTAATGCCGGAACACGATTGCCCTAAAATTGCACGAGTGGATCATGGCATTAAGCCACGAGCATGTGATGAATAAGAATACGGCCTATAACAATTCGCTCAATGAAACGAAGACATTAACTTCATCCAGTTTATTTAAGACCTGTGGGTCGGTGCACGTTGCCTCGCTAACACCACGCACCATGCTTAGAGGAGATTTACAACTCTATGTAAATCCCAAATGTTCCCCCAACGAAGCGGTTTGTTTCTAAGGGATCCTCGGAGTAACGGGAGAAACATGCCACGCCGTCGCCAGCGGCTTCCCGTCTGACATACAAGGCCCATTTTAATCGTGTATCTACTTATATTTATTTCAGATACATCAAAAGAATGTATCTGTTTTACTTGAAGAGCAATGAGCAATATATATCCTTCAATGTTTTATTTTCTGAATAGATCTCGGTGGATAAGCAAGTTGCCTTGCCAGCAGGAAGTGTGGATTCAGTTCCTGTTTACTTGAACGCGTGTCAGAGGTGGCGCCACAACCTCAGTGCTGAACGCGGAAATATTTGTCTTGTGGTGATACTATCTTATTTACTCATTGGTCTGTGCACAATCTTTGTTTTAAAGCAGTATTAATGCATTCAGCTATTTGTATATTATTTCTTTGCACTATAATGTTCAGATTGTTGGGTTATTTTTGCAATTATCTGTGGTTTTTATGACTGAATCTTAGAGCATTTGAGCCATCGTATTTGTTATATATCGTCGTCATCCTGTTAATTACATTATTTCTTAGTACTATAATTGTTCAGTTGTCTTGTTTTTAGGAAACACTTATTGGTTATACTACTGAATGTGGAGGAATTACAGCCATCTTATCACCGTTTGCTATATATTGTCAGCAAGACAGGTGGAAGTTAAACTGGCAATCTTAATTGTAAAACATTAAATAAAGTTCTTGGATTGGTGAAATAACTCTTGATGTCATGAAAGAAGTAGGACCAGCTTTTGGATCAAAAGTGGAAACCTGCTTATACATGTTTACACAGAAACAAAGTGGCTTGGTGCTTGCAGAATCAGAATCTTTATTTATTCTGGAGAAATCTGATGACCTATGAAGCTCTTTTTCAGAGACGTCCAGTGGGAGGGGATCAGAAAGCTCCAACAACAAACAATACAACAAACGGAGTGCAAGGTAGAGGGAAGGTAGACAAATCCCTAAAATAAATTGGTAAACAATATTAAGTCTATAAGTACCAATTGCAAAAGTATATACATTTCCTTGCATTAGAAACAGTGCAATACAACTCCAAAGACATCCTTCATAATTGAACCTTATGGCGGGACCCCGGGGTCCCGAACAAACAAAAGTAAAAATCGTAATTCATCTATTTATTGTTGGCGACTCCGTCCCACCGCGCACACAAACGCCACGACCCACATGGCGCGGATCATTCTGTTGTCATCTAAGCGCAACAAGGACGAATGCGCAGAAGAAACAAAACTTTGAAACGTTTATTAGCGCATTGTGTAGAGCTCGTCGAGAGGAATTGATTGCCGTGTCGTTCGCCTTCAACAGACAATGACGTCGCAACGCAGTTTATGTGAGAATCTCGGGGGCTTATGGGACCCCGGGGGTCCCGCCATGACCTTCAATTGGCGAATCCAAAAAGTGCTCCCCATGGGTCGCGGAAACGAATATTCCGTGGGGCGAGACCCCCAAAATCCATGAGGTTTAGCAAATTTAATTTTTGTAGAGTGGTTAGACAGGTGCCTCGCAACTCTAATAATGTTTTTGTGTGAGTCACGCGGCTAAACACTCCAAAAAAATGCGATTTGATTTCATGTTAAATATTTGAGTATCGCAGTGAGATAAAATTAGAGGGCGTGTGTGATACACTTCTCCCATAGTAGCGTGGAATTTTGGAGTTCAACTATAATATGATGATGGTTTTACAATTTAGCGTTTGTCCATCGATGGATAAGTATCTTAAGCGAACCATCGCACTCAACCATTCACTCCATTGAGCGTTTTTCCGTCTCCAAGCACCTGCGATGAGCACGGTTGACTATTTACGGTGCAAAAGAAGTTCATTCATACAAGTAAGGTCACACAATCTCAGAAAAACTATTTAGTTTAGAAAGGGGATTCGTGTTTTTATATTGGTGAACGGCTTGTCCTTGTGAAATGACACCGACTGTGTACGCAGAGCCTCTTAATTTAACCACAACACTATGCCCGGGCTTCGCTCTTGATGCTCGCCACTTTCCGCGAACGCCCCCCCCTCTCCTCGTGCTCTCCCTTTTACCTTTCTCGAGCCCCCCCCCTTTCTCGAGCTCCCCTTTCTCGAGCCCCCCTTTCTCGAGACCCCCCCTTTCTCGAGCCCCCCCTTTCTCGAGCCCCCCCTTTCTCGAGCCCCCCACTTTCTCGAGCCCCCCCCCCTTTCTCGAGCCCCCCCCCCTTTCTCGAGCCCCCCCCTTTCTCGAGCCCCCCCCTTTCTCGAGCCCCCCCCCCTTTCTCGAGCCCCCCCCTTTCTCGAGCCCCCCCCTTTCTCGAGCCCCCCCCTTTCTCGAGCCCCCCCCCTTTCTCGAGCCCCCCCCCCCTTTCTCGAGCCCCCCCCCCTTTCTCGAGCCCCCCCCCCCCTTTCTCGAGCCCCCCCCCTTTCTCGAGCCCCCCCCCTTTCTCGAGCCCCCCCCCTTTCTCGAGCCCCCCCCCCTTTCTCGAGCCCCCCCCCCTTTCTCGAGCCCCCCCCCCTTTCTCGAGCCCCCCCCCCCCTTTCTCGAGCCCCCCCCCCCTTTCTCGAGCCCCCCCCCCCCTTTCTCGAGCCCCCCCCCCCCTTTCTCGAGCCCCCCCCCCCCTTTCTCGAGCCCCCCCCCCCCTTTCTCGAGCCCCCCCCCCCTTTCTCGAGCCCCCCCCCTTTCTCGAGCCCCCCCTCGCTGTTCCCCCCCCCCCCCCGCAGCCAATCCCTATACTTCAACGGTTCCCAACCGTCGCCTCTGGGCCCCGCTCCGTTTCCCGCTTAAACCTCTCCACCAATCCCTGCACGCCCTGCCTCCCGACCAATCATCGTGGAGGCCTCCTTCCGCCAATAGGAGGCCTTGGCCTACTTTTTGCATTACAGTTTGGCTGCACGTTGGCTTGGGGCGAGCGCCTCTTCATTTCGGTCATTACACTTGTACAGATGTTGGTTTCCGTGTTGTAAATGGAATGGCAGGCGTATTTATTGTTATACAATACACGTGCAGGGGACTTGGGAGAAAGTGTTTAATGATCACGTTGAGATTAAGAACAGGTGGGCGTAAGGCGCTGTATAGGTAATTAATTAAATAACACGTTGAGATAATTGACGACACGTGCCGTAAGTGGGGACGAGGGCACTGTCCGATCAGGGCGTGGCCTGGCGGGTACATAATAAGGGGCGTGGCCTAGCGGGTACATAAGTGGCGTGGCCTGGCGGGTACATAATAAGGGGCGTGGCCTGGCGGGTACATAATAAGGGGCGTGGCCTGGCGGGTATATAATAAGGGGCGTGGCCTGGTGGGTACATAATAAGGGGCGTGGCCTGGCGGGTACATAATAAGGGGCGTGGCCTAGCGGGTATATAATAAGGGGCGTGGCCTGGCGGGTACATAATAAGGGGCGTGGCCTGGCGGGTACATAATAAGGGGCGTGGCCTGGCGGGTACATAATAAGGGGCGTGGCCTGGCGGGTACATAATAAGGGGCGTGGCCTGGCGGGTACATAATAAGGGGCGTGGCCTGGCGGGTACATAATAAGGGGCGTGGCCTGGCGGGTACATAATAAGGGGCGTGGCCTGGCGGGTATATAATAAGGGGCGTGGCCTGGCGGGTATATAATAAGGGGCGTGGCCTGGCGGGTACATAAGGGGCGTGGCCTGGCGGGTACATAAGGGGCGTGGCCTGGTACATAATAAGGGGCGTGGCCTGGTACATAATAAGGGGCGTGGCCTGGTAGGTACATAAGGGGCGTGGCCTGGCGGGTATATAAGGGGCGTGGCCTAGCGGGTACATAATAAGGGGCGTGGCCTAGCGGTTACATAATAAGGGGCGTGGCCGACTGATCGCGGAGTTCTAAATACGCTATTAGCTGTAAATAAACACTTCACCTTTTTAAAGAGTGGACGTCTCCCTGTAGCTTCTTTACAAATGCACAGAAGTGTGCTCCTGTTATTAACAGTTCTCCATGAAAAGTATTTACTTTAACGTCATAGGTCGTGCCCTTGTGGTAAAAGCTCTGGGAAGGATTTTTACCGCCTTGCATTGTGTATTGTTTCATCTTGTAACTTGCTAACCCGCCCCTAGTGGACATCTGTGAAAAAATTGCTTCATAGCTCATCGGCTTCCTCCAGGATAAATACCGATTCTGAATCTGTATCGTGTAGTCGACTAAACTGCATCGTCACGCATTTCATTCTTGAGGGCTTCACTTATCGGAATGCCTCTGTGGCTGCGATCTCTCCATGTCCATTCGACGGTGCACAGATGGAAGGCGCTGAAAACGAGCAAAAAGACACGGACCACGTAACAAATGAGACTCGGTGATGTTTTTAAAGCAACTTTAATTCGTATAGCTGAAAGGAGGTTAATATAAGTAAATGAATACAACATGCTGTAATACAAATATACTCAAGAGATTACAAAACAGAAACATACATACAATCAATGGATGAGTAGATTGCCAATGTATCGCCCATGGTTTTATATTTGTGGACGTGAAACTTAAAATGTAAAAAATTGCTGAAAAATGTTGTACAGTATTTCTATGCTGTACATGGACACTCGTTTGTCCATCCACTACTTGGCAAGTGCCCCCCACGTGGGTTGCAGGCGTTGTCTGACGTCCCCCCGTGCTGGGGTCAAGGGTGGCACAGTCGGGTTTTTACCATCGGGTTTAATTGTCTTTTTATATTAAACCCCATCATCTGAGATTGGGAGAAATCCGGTTTAATTGGTTCTAATTGC